AACAGTCGAGGGACTCAACAAAGCAACGCCATATAGTCGATGAACCATTATGTAACTTTTAATAGCCAGTGGATTCAACAAAGTAATATCCTTTAGTCAAGGGACCATTTTTGTAATTTACCCTAAAATATTTTGTAAAATAAATAAAATATAAAATATTTAGATTGTATATCATCTTGATTTAAATATGCTTGAGGATAAATTTTAAAAAAGAAATTGAATATTTGGTCCAATGGAACCTAAATGAGTTGTTGAGAAGAGTTTAGGTAATGAAAAGATTTATGATAATGCCATTTGGAAAAGAAAATAATAAGTTTGACAAAGCAATATCCAACAAACCAATGAACTTAAGAAATGAAAATTAATTATGATATAATTGGGGAAATGAGTTGGTGGTTTTAATTATTTTTCTCCACCACAAGACACGAAGAACAAGCCATGTATTTGGCTAGTCTATGCCTATTTGTCAATTTTCCCTACAATATAGCTTAAGTGCACATAATTATATTATCTCATCTTTTATTGCTAGGAAAAGGAAAATTAGATTCTACCCACCCCTATAATGTTATGTTTTTCTTTTTAAAAAGATACTATATGTTGCTTGAATTTATAAATGATAAAGATAGAACAAAAAACATATTATATAGTAATTCATAATTATATATTTTTATTATTAAATAGTAATTCATATTAAACTGAGGGGAAAGAAAGACTCCAAATATAATGAACGAATTCCAGCGTGTAAAAATAAAAGCGATAGAGTAGGAAATAGGTCGTACGTGAATGTGTACTGTTTGTAATAATTTTTGTGGGAAAATTTAGGGTGAATTTGGTTTTGTATAATATAAGCTCTCCACTCCAACCCTACCCCGCGAATCTATTATCCCACACGACGCATAAACGGATACTAATAATGTAAAAGGTACCAGCGCCATCACAAAGGACAAATCACAGTAAACTCAACGAATAAAGTCCAAAGAAGGAAAAGACCAGGGTAAAATACAATATATAGTCATTCAAGTATAATTCAATTTATTCTTTTAGCACTGAAGTTTTAAAAATAATGAAATGGTTACTAATATTTAGGGATGGTAGACGGGTACAAATTTGTGAGTAAGTGATGGATTTGAGACCTTACCCATCCTGCATCCGCCCGCCCACTAACTACTCAACATATAAATGTGGACAATTATGAATTTAGGCATGATTTAATTGGCTACTTTGTAAATCTTAAGATTTTATAGGACACGACTTATAATTTAACTAAATATTATGTGTTTGTCATTTATGTTCTAAACTTTAATTATGTCCTTTATTATGACGTTTTATGTATTAAGGCATTGATTTATTTTAAAATCTATGTTAATATTAAATAAGATATATTTAAATAAAATAAGTAAAACAACACCTAAGGCCTCGTACTCTTTTAAAAAAAATCAATGTGACCCTTCACTTTTTTTTGCACCCAATGTGGGTTCTTTGACCAACAACTCCATTTATTTTGTGCTAACGTCACACGTTAAGTAGATCAACATCCTATTTTTTCTCTCAATCTTGCCATCCAACTCAAGAAAATAACTCAATCTGGCCCTCTAATTTTTCTCTTCTATTTTGGTCACTAAACTTTAAAAGTTTACAATTTAATCACTCAACTTTTGAATTGCTCTTATTTCAATAATCATGATTTATTTTATTAATATTTATGTATGATGTGATATTTTTTTCTTTTCAACCAAAGATTTTTTTTTTATTTCATTACCATATTCAATGAACTCAGATTGAGCTTGTAACAAAATTGAAAAACTAGGGATGAACAACTTGACCAGGTAATGAAAGAAAAAAAAAATCTTTGGTTGAAAAGAAAGAAAAATGAAATGAGAGGATAAAGGAGGAGAGTGGAGATTTGGAAATATATAAAGTAGAGGGAATATTTTCTAATTTAATTATAATTTTAGATTTTTTTCAATATAATTTTCAAATTTTAATTTAATTAATATTATTTTAATCATATATTTAATAAAATAAAAATAATAATAAATACAACGTCATACATAAATATTAATAAAATAAATCACGATGATCAAAACATGAGTAATTTAAAAGTTGAGTGATTAAATTGAAATTTTTTAAAGTTTAATGACCAAAATAGAAGAGAGAAGATAGTTGAGTGATGAATGATATAATTTTATCATTTATAATAACATTAAACAAATGGTCAAGGGTCACATTGAATTATTTTTCTTGAGTTGGAGGGCCAGAGTGAGATAAAAAATAGGATGTTGGTTTGTTTAACGTGTCACGTTAGCACAAAGTAATGGAGCCGTTGGTCGACGACGAAAAAAATTAGTCAAATAACCACATTGAGTTTTTTTTCTTGACTTGAAGGTTCACATTGGCTGTAAAAAAATGGAAGGCCACATTGATTTTTTTATAAAAAGTACAAGGATTTTAATACCATTTTGCCAATAAAAAATATTTAACTAAATAAATTATTAATATGACACTTTGAAATTTTATAAAATAAAATATTTAATCAAATATTCATAAATTCAATACAGTAAACAATTCAAGAAATTCATCTCTTTAGATTTACAAATCTTATTAGTAAGGAATTCAAAAGAAAGAAAAATGTATCCGAAAATAGAGTTATTGGGTTTAAAACAGGTGTAAGTTAAAATTGTGAGGCTTAATCTTCTAGGCAGACAAGGGTTTAGATGATATTTGTTTATTTCAGAATGATTAAGCGCTGAATGATTCAAATATTAAATGATTCAAATACTGAATGATTCAGAGACTCTATACGAATTAACTCTGAATGTAAAATACTGTTTGATAATGGCTCTGAATCATTCAAAATATACTTCTGTGCCGAATCATTCAGTATTATTTTGTTGAATCAATCAGCACTGAATCATTTAAAAATAAAAAACAAACAGTCTAAATACTGAACGATTCAGCATTTAACGCTGAATGATTCCATTAAACCAAACAAACAACCCCTTAAACAAAGAGATTGATTTTGGCGCTACCCGAAAACCAGATGCTGGAGATTTTGGCTTCTAACATTCACCTCATTTCTCAGTCTCACCTTCCCCTCCCATCAAACGATTCCAAACAACCAGAAACCCCCCATTTCAACCAACCCAAATCATCACCGAATCCTCAAGAAATGCACCCATTTACTCCAATTCAAGCAACTTCACACCCAAATCATCAAAAACCCACTTCACCAATCCGATACATACCTTTCCAAACTCATCGAGGCGTTAGTCGGCTCCTCCGATATCTTTTACGCACGCCGAGTGTTCGACCAAATAACCGAGCCGTCCGCTTTTGCTTTCAACACCATGATAAGAAGATACGGAATAAATAATTTGGGCCCCGAAGGAATTGACCTTTATATCAGAATGAGACACCAGGGCCTTAACCCAAATAATTTTACTAACCCGTTTCTTTTAAAGGCCTGCAGTGGTCTTAATCAAGGCAGAGGAGTCCACTCCCTGGTTGTCAAAGACAAACGATTTAGTTCCGAGATCCATTCTTTAACTTCTTTGATAACGCTTTATTGTGCTTTTGGTGATGTTGAATCCGCCCGGTTGTTGTTCGATAGAATGAATGAGAGAAATGTGGTTACTTGGACTTGGATTATAACGAGATATGTGAAGCAAAAGAGGTATAAAGAAGGGATTGAATTGTTTAATCAAATGAAGATTTCTGGGGTTGGAATAGATGAATTGACTTTGGTTTCTGTACTCTCAGCTTGTGCTAATTTGGGGGCATTGGAAATCGGTCAATGGGTGCATAAATATGTTGATAAAAAGGGAATATTTTTTAATCCAAAGCTTGGTGCTGCTCTTAGACATGTATGCTAAATGTGGTCACATTGACAAAGCTTATCAAGTTTTTAAAATTTTGCCTTGTAAAGACGTTTGTGTTTGGAATGCCGTGATCGGGGGACTTGCAATGCATGGTTATGGGATTGAAGCCATTGAAAGATTTAGGGAAATGCAACTAGCAGGAATAAAGCCGGATCGGAACACTTTTATTGCGGTTTTATCCGCCTGCAGTCATTCAGGATTGGTGGAGAAAGGAAAGGAGATTCTTCATTCAAGTATTGAGCCGCACATCAAGCACTATGCATGCTTTGTGGACATTTTATGCAGGGCAGGACTCTTGAGTGAGGCTTACGAGGTTATAACTAACATGCCAATGGAACCTAATGCTGTTTTGTGGGGAACTCTATGCTTGTGCTGCTGCTGGCAATGTCGAGCTAGTCGAGGTTGCGATGCAACGGCTGATGGTTCTGGAACCATTCAATGATGGAAACTATGTTCTTATGTCGAATATTTATGTCCGTGAAGGAACGGTGGAGGGATGTGGCTAGTATTAGAAAGATTCTGAAAGATAGGCCGATATCAAGGAACCCCGGCCATAGTTTGATTCAAGTGGACAACGTTGTCCATGAATTCTTCGTTTGAGATGGCAGGCATCCCTGTTCGGAACAGATATACAGCATGTTGGAAAAGGTTGCCCTAACCATTAAAGAATGGAGTTTCTAAGTTCTTGTGTCCATTAATATGTAGGCAACAGTTTGATACAAGAATATGATCTTACTGAAAATCTCATCAAGATCTCCCAGGTATATTTGACTTGGTTCACAATTGTACAATGTTTAACTGATAGGATATAAAATTATCTGAGAATTTTTTTTATCAAATTATCCATGTGATATTTAAAAAAAAATCAAATCAAACCTTTAATAAGGATAAATTAAACGTTCAGTTTTAACAAATATATTTTCTTTTAATTTGAAAGTTCAAACTTGAATAAAGTTTATATTATCTTAAGCAACCTCCCTTAACCTACTATCCAAATGACATCATAGTATTTATTATAATGTATAAGCCTGCAAAAAATTCATCAAAAACAGTAACTACAAGGTATTTTGAATGTTCAACTAGGAATCTCTGGATTTTCCTCTGTAAAAAATGAAAAGAAAAAGAGAAAATAGAGTTTGAATGTTTGATTGCGGCTTCTACTTCAGAGGACCATTTAATCAAAAAAGAAGAAAACCCAGAACTTAAAGTACAACTGGAAGGATAGCAATGGTGTTCTCAAGTCATCCTCTGAGCAGCTTCCTTTGCAAGTAACTTCTCCCTTGCCTTGGTTCGGGCCTGTGACTTCGATCCCATGATACCTCCACCCCACTTCTTCCTGTACTCGTCATATTTGTCGTTGAAGTTTGCCTGCGATATAAGCACCAAGTTAACCATATGATTTATAATATATTACATATATTAACTAGAATATATTCTGTGGTTGTGATTTTACCTTGATTGCTTCAAGGATTTTGCTGAAGTCCAACTTATCCTCGTTCTTAACTGTGGTCAAGCACAAGACAGAAGCGGTTTTCTTGTGGACAATCTACAGTAGTACGACCACAAATACACAAATAAGTAGGCCTATAAACAAACTGAACGCACACGAACGGAGATATATTCATGTTCGTTCATTTAATAAATAAACGAACACGAACATAAACGAGCAATTTTTTTTTGTTCATGTTCGTTTATTAAGGAATATAGCTTGTTCATGTTCGTTTATTTAAATAATAAACGAACATAAACGAACACGAACGAATATAAACGAACACAATAAACGAACAACACAATCACAAAAAAAAAACTTATTCAAACACAACAAACGAATGTAAAAAAAAGTAAACAACAAGAATAACAACTTAAAATTCATTAATATTACCTTCAACTTTAGAGTTAATTTGTTCGAATACGACAAAAATATACATAAATCATAAATAATCTATATGAACATAATAAAGTCTTAAAGTTAATTAGTTCAACAAAACAATCTTCTTGAAATCCAAACAACTTCAATAATCTTCGTAACATATTCAACTTGTCCTCTGTTCGAACATAAATGAACGAACATAAACAAACATAAATGAACGAACATAAATGAACGAACATAAACGAACATATAATCGAATGTTCATGAACGTAAATGAACAAACGAACCCTTTGTTCATGTTCGTTCATTTAATTAAACGAACGCAAAATCTTGTTCATGTTCGTTCATTTAATAAATAAACGAACATAAACGAACTTCCCGCCGTACGGTTCATGAGCGGTTCGCTGAACGTTCAGTTCATTTACAGGCCTACAAATAAGTGAACTCCCTCGATTCTATCGAGGGCAGAAAAGGAAATGAATCTGAAAGAAAAATACCGATCCCAAACGTGATTTCCCCTTGACGATGCAGTAAGGGACCTCCATTTTTCTGCACAAAGCAGGAAGCCACAAAACCAATTCTATTGGATCCACATCATGAGCGATAACAACCAATTGAGCCTTGTTCTGCATTAGGAATAATAAAAACAGCCATTGTTTTAAACAACTTACCATATAAACAGAATGCACAATGCCACACATGCTAAATCGATGATTTTGAAGAAGAAAAAGAGCTACCTGCTCAATAAGGTAGGTGTCGTGGTTAAGTCCGTATTTGACAACAATTGGTTTCTTAGATTCGGGAGCTTTTCCTTCAGCTTCAGCCTGGGCTTTTTTCAGGAGACGTTCCTTCTTAGCTGCCTTGTCTTCTGGCCTATACTTGAGGAGCAATTTGAACAAACTTGTTGCTGTGATAATAAAAAAAATGAACCAAGGTTTAATCCCTACTGTTTAAAACAGGAAAGGGAGCCACAGCAAGAAAGCCGGAAGGGCCAAAACAGGGACATAAGTAAGTTTTAGCGTACCAAGGTTCTTATCAAGAGTCTTGGTAAACTGGTTCAATGCCGGTGGGACCTTCAACCTCTGCTTAAGGATCCTCTTTTTCCTTTGAATGCGGACAACCTTAGGCCACTTCACGAACCGATGTAGATCCTTCTTTGGTGGTAAGGCTCCTCCAATACCAAACTGCTTTGGACGCTTCTCAAACAATGGATTGACAACCTTCTCTTATTTTCAGGAACAAAGAATTATTAAAATCACAATCGAGTTATTTTAGGGTTCAGGTGATTAAGACAACATCAAAATTACTTGTTTCTTTTTGACTGGGACGGCCACCTTTCCACCTCGCTTAGGGGCCTGCATTAACAGCAAATAAAACAAAAACACAAAGATAAACGCTTTTAAAACAAGTACAAAAATACAGCAACATATTCAAACCATGAAACTTACATTACCAATCGTAAAAATAATTAGAAAAGAGATAAAATTTCCAGGATAACAAGAAAAAGACCAATAGTCTTAAAGCTTCTTCAAAACTTATGCAACCCAAAGATTAGTTCTCTAGCTATACTATGACTTATGATAATCTTCAGTGCAATGACTGTACCTTATAATAATCTATGCTACAAGAACTCTTCGTCTGTTTAAACAGTCGGACATATTCTTATCAGAAACTCAACCAAACCTGAACAGATAAAATAATAATAGCTTTCGCGGATCTGTTCATTTCCGATTGGATGCTCATTTTTTCCTAAAATTTTCAGAATATTATAAAAATCAAGTCTTTATAGTAAGTTTGGCATATGATCATCCTCAAACTTGATTTATACAACACTAAATCCAGAAAACAACACTAAGCTCAGGGAACTGCATGCATCGGAAGCCAAAAAAAAAGCAGCAGCAGAAATTGAAAATGCATTTAAAGAGAGCAATTGAAAAGAAGAAAACTGAAGAATTGGAAATGGAGTTTCCAGATTTACCATTCTATGCACCTCTTTAGGTTTCTTCAAAGCTTTTATGGTTAAGAATGGCGGAGGAAAACCCTACCGAGAGAGACGAAGAAGAAGCGGAAGGATTGAAATTTATATAAATATCAATTAACAAGTTCTATGTCTGGGCCGGTTTAGGAAAAATATGGGCTTTTGGGATCCTTACATATCTGAACTGTTAACGGATATAAAACTAACCTAAAGTCCAATAAAAAAGCGAAACTTGCTTTACCCCAAAATTTGTTTTTGATTCCCCGCTCGTTTCTTGCCACTTTGATCTAATTCTTATTCTTATCTGAAATTTTACATTTTGCAGTCCAATTCAAAAGCATCAAAAGACCATCTTCTTTTCATTTCTCTGTACTGGTTGTCAGTTGTCACCAGAGCTACTTACTATCTTTTGAGGGTTCCTTTCAATTCTAGGGTTTTAGTAAAAACCCATAATTTTGGTTGTTTGATTGGCAGTTTCTATGGAGACGGAGACACTGGACGAGAGCAAACCGGTGGAGGAGGAGGCTGCTCCAGCTGACAATAAAGAAGGGGCTAAACAAGAGAAAGAAAAAGAGGAGAAAAACATTTCTCGGGAAAGTGAGGAAAAGAAGGAAGATGAAGAGAAAGTTGAGGAGACTATAGAGGAAGATGAAAAGGAAGAGAAGAGAGAAGAAGGTACTAAAGAGGCCAAAGGTAGTAGTCGAAAGCGAAGGTCTAGGAAACCCAATCGGGATTCATCGGAGAATAAAGAGCCTGTGACACCGAGTAGTGACAGGCCGACAAGGGAAAGGAAAGTCGTTGAAAGATACTCGGTTACACCTGTTTCCAGGTCTTCCACTCCCAAACCTTTTTCAATTGAAAAGGTATTTTTCTTAGCTAAGGATTTGATTAGTTTTCGGCCATACTTTTGTTCCCGTCATGTTTCTTTGTTTTGATCTTGTGTTGCTTTCAGGGTCCTGGTGCACAGCTTAAAGACATTCCAAATGGTATGTATCTTTTGCTTCGAATTATTTCGAATCCATCGGATCTGATAGAACTTCCATTCTTTATTCAATTATGAACAATTGTTGAACTAAATTTTGTTGGATACTGTAAACAATCTGAGTTTTGGTTATTAATTTTGCATTATGAAGCCTGGAAATGAAAATTTTAGTAATTGCATTCAAACTCGGTAATCGGTATTAAAACTGGGTTTATACAATTTCTGTGTGTAGATTTAACCATTTTAATTGTTGTTAAGCTTGATTAAGTATTAATAAGTAATGGGAATGGATGAACCCTTGGCTTAAAGTCTAAAGTTTTATAACTTCGTAAAAATAGGCCTCTATGTGAAGCCTTTTGAACTGCTCTGATAGCAATATGTGCTCAAATCACTTGTGATACAGATGATACAGTAATATTTAACTATTAATATTTAGTACTTATATACTTCAGGATAACAATAATCTGAAATTATTAGAAAATAGGGAAAATTGAATAAAGAAAAGTTAAACAGAAGAAAAGAAAAGATATCACAAGTTTCACCCTTAGGGTTGATAGCATCACAAAATCAAGAAGAAAGGAAGCCTAAGCATCACAGTTAGGGTTGATTGAATTGCAAATGCTTGGACTCTAGTCCCAAGGCTTATTAGGGTTTCGCATCATTAAGCTCTTGCAGTTTTCATTTAATATTTGGTTCTCAAGATCGTCTTGGATGACAGACAGATTCTAATCTTGTCATTTGATGGTATTTTCTATCAAATAGTCCTTTTTATATGTTTATTTTACTTTGTTGTTACTGCAGAGTCTGGCCTATTTTTTCTCTGATATTATGAACTGTTTCAGTGGCTTTCAAGTTGTCGAAGAGAAAATTTGATGATAATCTGCAGATGCTTCATATGATACTCTTTGGAAAGAAAGCAAAGGTAATCGAGCTATCTTGTCTAGTTGTTCCATGATCCTTTTTTATGTTTATTTTTTTTTTTACTTTTACAGCCACAAAGATTGAAGAGAAATATTGGCCAATTTTCTGGCTATGTTTGGGGTCAGAATGAGGTATTTTATTTGATCTCATGTAAGTTGGTTAATTCATTTTTATTTTTTTCCTGTGGTCCACCACCTGAGTTCTTCTCTTCTTCATTGTAGTAATATATGTTTAATTTATGATAGATTGCCTATGATTATTCACAAGTAAAATCTTCTTAAACCCATTGTTTTCTTTTTTCAACAGGAAAAACAAAAGGCTAAAGTAAAGGAGAAAATTGAAAAATGTGTTAAAGAAAAATTAGTTGATTTCTGTGATTTGCTGAATATTCCAATCACAAGGGCCAGTGTACGAAAGGTCAGTAAGAAACATATACTATAATACATTAAATATACCGATGTTTATGTAGTAAGTGTGCATCTCTATTTAGGCTAACTGATTTCAATTTTCAGGAGGAACTCTCTGCCAGATTGTTGGAATTTCTGGAATCACCCCATGCTACAACTGACGTTCTACTTGCTGACAAGGAACAGGTACACTGTTATTTCTTAATCTTTGTGTGCTATGGAGTATTGGGCATGATTAACCGTGTGTTTGAGATAGAATGAGATTCTTTATTCATCATGTTTTCAAAGGGTAAAAAGCGTAGAGCTACACCAAGCAAAAACATTGCTTCTGGGGAAGCATCAGATACATCAGCCAAGGTTTGTCTTGTCTGGTTGTGTTCCATTTTGATATATACAAGCATGCATGCAACATACATACGTATGTACGTATGTATATAACTTTTTTTTTACTTTCTTCATCTATGATCGTAGAATAGTGATTGTTTCTGCATGTATTGATTTGCAGTTTTTAAATTTATTGAATCTGTTGTAAACCTCCTCCGTACTGAATTTAAGTTTTTTATTAATGTGGTATTTTTTTAATGTTCATTAGCATTAAGCCATCAACCACAAAGGATTTATGCTTGGATGTTAAAGTTCTCTTATTATGGATCTTTATACAATATATTGGTCAAAGGTGACATCACCAAACAGTTCTTTTGTTAATGCTATAAATGAAATTAACAAAATTGATTTTTAGCTGATAAGGATGGAGTTTTAGAATTGTCAATTTGTCATGTTTCTTGTAAGGGTCGTTAAATAATGTCAGGCAATCCAGATTGGTGCTCTAACGAGCTGTACGGGTTGTTCCTGCTTGAGAATGATGGCTTCTCTCTTATGTTTATCTCTCTGCTTGATATTTTATCTATAAGGAATTTTTGGTGGCTGAGAGTGTTTGGTGCTTGTTATATTGTTCCCGGTTTTGCTCTGCAGAAGCAACGAAGCACACCCCAAGGTAGAGGAAAGCGCAAGCGTTCGTCGGAAGTTGAGGAAAAAGATGAAGATGTTGAATCCCCTGTTAGTAAAGATGATTCTCATGAGGATGATGCGGACACTGCACACAAAGAAGTGAGTGATGATGAAGAGACTAAATCAAAGGAAGAAGAAGAATCCAAGAAGACAAGTGAGAAAAGTACTTCGAAAAAGAGTGCTACGGATCATCCAGATTCAAAATCCAAGAAGACATCGGCATCTGAAAAGAAGGCTACCCTTGCAAAATCTAGCAGAAAATCTTCCGGATCAACTTCAAAACAAGGTGCTAGTCGTGATGATAGGACTCCGGGCTCTAAATTAAAGGGTTCTGCATCGAAAAAACAGAAGGTTGAAAAGGAAAGCTCTAAAGATGATAGGTTTTCCACCAAAAACAAGGTTACCAGGAAGAAGCAAACTACCAAATCACCAGAAAAGGTTTCCACCAAGGCTCAAGGTGATTTCTTTAGCTATACTGTTGAAACATGTGCATGTTTACTAAGACTTTGCATTCACAAGGGTTTTACTAAATTTGCATGAGTTTCTGTGTGCTGTTGGTATTATAAAAAGAAAATCTTCTAGGCCAGGGATATTTGAAGTGTTTTTTTGCATTATAATTTTTTTTTTGAAGGAATGCTTTTATTAATTTGATTGTCATCAATTGAGTTTATGGCATTACAGATAAAGGCAAAAGCAACAAGAAGCCTAAAGCAGAGCCTAGCAAGGAAGAGATTCATGATGTAGTTGTAGATATTCTAAAAAAAGTGGACTTCAACACCGTAAGTAGTATGCACAGCTGTGCGTTTCGAGATGAAACGATAATCAATATTCTATTCTCAACTTTTCTTCTGTTTTTGATGCAGGCAACGTTATCGGATATTCTTCGACAACTGGGTATGTTTCCGTTTATTTATTAAAGCATTAAGTTAGAGTTTCAACTCTTAGACTCTCTAACTATAAGATTTGACCATGTCAGCTACGCACTTTGATCTGGATTTGATGCATAGAAAGGCTGAGGTGAAGGATATTATCACTGAAGCGATAAATAACATGTCTGACAACGATGATGAAGAAGGGGAGGAAAGTGAGGAGAATGCTGATACAGGTGGCGATGCTGATAAAGACGGGAATGGGGACAATGATGCTTAGTTCCCCGGGGAGTTACATACCACCATGTCGAACGTGTAAGATATCTGCAGTCATGGTCATTTATAACCTTCGGGATTTTTCCTGCAATCGTTCAGTTATAAAATCGTAGTTTGTTTTAGGTGACTGATAGGTGGGCGTGTAGCGTAGGAGTTATCAACTCTTTGGTACTAACTTATTGCTGATCTGGCATCAACTTACATATTTTGTAGGTTTTGTGGTGTTGTGTATCTTCGTTGAAAATTGAAAATGTTGAAGTTGTATTTGATTTGTGTAGTTATACTTCGACCAGTGAATGGTTTAGTAAATATGTAAAGATGGGATTGCAGTTGTGCTATCTTGCGTTGTTCTATTGTCATCCTCTGCATCTCAAGTTAGTCTAAACGATTATGTTAGTAGAACAATTTTAATTTATCTTTGTTGTATTAGTTTCTTTGTCTTCATTGATGAGTTTTCCACTATTTTTCTTTCTATTCTAGTTATAATGTCCTGATTTTTCTTTTTTAGTATCCATGCTTAATATAAATTATGAAAAAAACAATGCACCATTTTTCAATTACATTTATGTATTTGCACCATCTTCCCATAATATCCAATCCTAGCTTGGTTAAATGAAATGACGACAATTGTAAGCATTCAAGATGGAGTAAGAAGTTCATACACGATCCATAGCCTTCATTGATGGTCGAGTGTCGAGAAGGGCTGCAAGCGAAGCTGCAAAGGGGAGTTATTTTGGGATCGTCGCCATTGTCCATCTCCTCTAAAACTTGGTGGAGCGAATCAGCGTTGCAGGGAAGGAGTGGACCTTCATTGTTGTACTCGAGCTCGGTGTCTTCTAACATCTGGAACAACGGGTGGTTGGCGAATCTGCCCTTGGGGTCCAAGTAGACAAGAATTGGGATTTTAGATTTTAGTACATTTAACCCAGTAACCCACTAACTCATTAAAGCTTTAACTCAATAAAAATTAGGATATTTAATTTGTAACACCTTAATCTGATACATCACAAAGTCGATCGATTAAAATGCCACACAAGACTACCGAAGTAGTCAACACAAAAAATTCTTTATTTACTTATTAAAACGACGATTTAAACCATTTAAAGTAAAATAATTCAAACATATATATATATATATATATATACACAAAGTTTACATTGGGAGCTCCCAATATAAGTATATCAAAATAGTACAACTGGATATTACAAAAAAAAATCACAACCCAAGTACATGAAGGTCTATGAAATATATATGCTCTCTAAGAATATAACTCGAGACGTACTATGCTTCTCACTCAGTTTGGAAAGCTACTGTTCTAAAGGCTCCTCGAATGCTCCTCCTAAATACATGCACACGAAAACAAATTCCGAACGCTGAACTCACTAACCGAGTGCTACACTAACAACTAAATCATATTAAAAGTGTTCATTAAATGCTCATGCTATCGAGTACAATAAAAATAGTGAGTATACTCGTATACTTTACTCTATACTCTAGTGTAGACATCATGGTGTGGCTGAGAGTTCTGCATCTCGAAACTCACACACCCCTCTAGTCTACCTAAAGTGAGGTCCGAAATCTCTACATCGGACTCAACCCTCACAGGTGTCGAGCCTCGTGCCCTAGTTAGTCATTTTAAAGTGCCTCATGCACTACCTAAGGATATCCAGACAATTCTATTTCTTTACACCAATATCATTTACTAAAGTAAATCGGGTGTCTTGATCATTTCCCGAGCATCAACCAATGATAGTTTTATGTCTCCCTAATTGATATCGTTTCTAACTATATTTGATTATTATTCTTGTTATCACTTGTAGTTTTATTTGAGAGCAAATATAGAGATCTTGGGTACCTTAATACCTTTTGTAAATCCCTTGAATATCTTACCCCAAAATATATAATGGTACCAATACTATGCCTCTCAGTATCGGTACTAACCCTTAAGTATCGATACTCCACCTTGGGTATCGATACTCTACAACTAATTTCAATTGGGAAAAGGGTAGTATCGATACTCTAATATTAGTATCGATGCTCCCAAGCTAGGGTATTGATACTTTCCAAGGTATCGATACCAAATTTGGGTTCAATATTTTGAAAAAAATACCTCAGTATCGATACTCTACCCTTGGTATCGATACTCCCTTGAGTACTGATACCAAAAATACCCATTGGAAAATAGGTTTCGATACCCATCCTATGGGTCTAAAAAATTGGCCCTCAGTATCAATACCACTCACACAAAACTACCTTATTTTTGCCTCTTGTAAGAACGGTATCGGTATTGTTCTTCCATTATTGATACTTACGCCCATAAATACCATGTTTGGGCACTAATTTGGCTCCCAAAGTTACTCAAGATGCCCTACTGAGGTCCCCAAACATTATTAAAGTCTTATTTGATTTAGAATGGTCATAAAAGACTTTAGATCATGCTAAAAACACCAAAACATGAAACTACCATGAATGGTCAACCGTGCTTCATAACTCAACTCTTAAGCTAGAATGCATTCTAGTGACTCACAAATGGTATGAAAGAGTTGTGAATGTGTTACCTTAATCTCATAACTGTTGAGAATGCCCTCAAATCAACCAAAGGTCTATTTCTATTTTCCTTTAACTTTGGAGCTCTCTCCCATTTCTTTCACTAACCAAATGTATGAAAATGAGTTACTAATTCATCTAGGAGCTTGGATTGAAGTTAAAAGCATTTCTAGAACTTAAATCTACTAAAAACGAGCTAGAATCACTTGATTTTCTTAAATCTCTCCAAAACCCATTTTTGAATTTTATGGTCAAAACTTAATTTTAAGAGTTTAAATGAAAGCTTGAAAGGTGGGGATAAATATTCTTACATTAACAACTTCAAACTAAGCTTGTATCACCACCAAGATTCAATCTTTGCTAAAATTCTTGAAGAGGAAAATAGGGAGTAAAGTTGTTGAAGGCTAAGGGCATGGGTATAACGTGAGATCATCTCCCATAAATGGATTTTAGCTTTTGTTTCAAAGTTTGGTATACTTACCCTTTTAATCCTTCCACCTTTATCCTAATAATAAAAACACCATTTTTAACATTCAAATGGGCTCCAATCAAGGCCCAACTCAACATCTAAATGGATCAAGCTTTCCTACGACGTAATTGGGCTTATCTAAATCTCGGGTCAACCTGAATCTACTAACTCGGGATTTGAGACGTTACATAATTATTTATTACGTGTGAGTAACTAAATATATATGTATATATATATATATAACATAGTAGAAGTATTGAATAAGTTAAATTAAATCACAAAATTTAAAATTTAAAATTTAAAATTAATTTTTTCGTCAAATTAAATTTTGAATACGAATTCAGATATTAGATATCTAATCCAAAAATTTGAATATTTGATTTTTTTCGAATAGGAAACGAATCACTATTTTAAGTACTCAAAATTTTTGGATATTTGAATTTTTGAATCAGATCGGATCTGATATCCAAATTTGCACATCCCTAATTATCATTACGGTCACATATCATATCATCACCACCAATTATCAGAGCATTTAGTCTTATTATTATTTAATTGAATACAAGCTTATCAATTACTTAGAAATAAATAAAGATATTTTTAAAAAAAGTTAACAACCTTAGGATTATTTAGTTTTTTTTTCCTTCAAAACTTAGGACTTCACCATCATTTATTAAGGGTTTTTTTATTATTATTTAGCACTTATGGCTTCAAACAGGGGCGGATGTACATGGCTCTTAGGGAGCCATTGCACTCCCATTATTTTTAGAAAAATGTTAAATTTAGTTTAATTTGTTAATAGGAATAGAAAAAAAATAAGAATATTTGCATACCCAAAATTTTTTAGAATAGGGTATTAAAATTTTGGACCCTTATTTTTAAATTTCTAGATCCGCCACTAGCTTCAAACCAGACTTGAAAGGTCATTTTAGAAATCTTTATACATATAACAGTCCATACAAGGCCACATGTTCCTTTAAATAATGTCATATGATATAATTTTGAGACATACTAAATTAAACCTAGGAGTATCGGAGTTTTTTTGGCAGTTAGAACTTTAAACTATGCTTAAGAGATCGTTTTAGGAGAGTTGGGTAACCAGTTTTAGATCCAAATAGGCTCTTTGGGTTATATAAGCCCAAATTGACTCGAAAAGCCTAGATCAAGACCATCAGTTTTGAAACTAAAGGGCTAGTTTTAAAATCAAAAGGTCAATTTTAAAATTTAAAAGATGATTTTAGAACTCTTCGCCTAATTTAGCATTAAAAAATTCTAGTTTCAAAACTAGAAGATCAATTTCGAAACTAATGTTTGAAACCTCAATAGTTGAATATGGATTTGCTCCTAAGGCAGCTTTAACAAGCATGACTAAGCATTGTGACTTCATATTAGTTTTAAAAACAAATGTACACCTATAGCCATCAACAAGCATGACTAAGCATGCTAAGATACCAAGATTAAGTCAAGGAACATATTTAAACAACCATGCACACATATTTATGATACAGAGTTGAAGTTAGGAGTGCAATTCTTTTAACTTTTTTTTGCATGAGAATGAGAAAACAACAAGCTAGTTTAGTTTATAGCTTCAACATGGTTATAAACTGTGGTTTTTTCAGATAGGCTTCTTCCACCGGAGGATCCTGGAAGTAACGTAAGCCCAAACTGTCAGCTTGCGCCAGCTTCGCCATCGTATCTACTGTGTTATTACTTGCCCGAGGAATGTGGTTAAAAAGCACTCGTCACTCCTTCCTCACCATGTTCAGGATGTGTGGGAATAACGACGAACTGCAACACATACTTGCTTCCCCTTTCAAAACAATGACCACATTTCCGCTATCTCTCTCCACTACAATCGTGCCAAACCGCAACAATTAATTTTTTAATATTTAAAAAATTGAATTCCTACTAATTAAAGTTGTGGTCATAAATTAAAGAAAAATTTGTGTCCATAAATTAAGTTAGTAGTGAATTGCACAAACCAAATTAACTCAATGGTTAAACGAATGATTATTATTCCTATAGGTCTCAAGTTCGAGCACCAGCAAATGCAATCGAGATTATTGAACGTTCATTATCAAATGATTGAGAATATTAAAATAACAAGGAGTGAATTTCCTTTAACCTTATGATTTACATTAATAGTGGTAACAATTATGTTCACTTCATTTATCATTTCACATTAATAATGATAGGTGAAAGATCGATTTCCTACCAATTAAAGTTGTGGATATAACTTAAAAAAAGTTATGAGTAAATTTTCTTTAACTTTAT